CCCTAAGACCTAAACCCCAAACTCTGAACCCTGATCCCTAAACCCTAAGACCTAGACCCGAAACGCTAAGCCCTAAACCCTAAGCCCTGAGCCCTAAACCCTAAACCCTAAACCCTAAACCCTAAACCCTAAACCCTAAACCCTAAACCCTAAACCCTAAACCCTAAACCCTAAACCCTAAAAGCCCTTACGGCAGCTTTGTGTGGGTCCGCGCTGCTCAGGCATCCATGAGTCCATCCATGCCAGGTCCCGGCAGAGGGTTTAGGGTTTAGGGTTTAGGGCTTAGGGTTTAGGGTTTAGGGTTTCGGGTTTAGGGCCCGCAGCGTTGCCCCGCTGATCACATTTCGCGCCATGTGGTCCTTTCTTGGCTTGGCGCTGCTGGGTGGGGCGCAGGCTTCTGGACTGAAAGAAACTCATCGAGGGCCCCAAGACCCCAAGGGTTTGAGTTTGGATTGGGGGTTCAGGGCCCCATGGCATGTTTCAGACCTACAATATATAGGGTTTAGGGTTTAGGGTTTAGGGTTTAGGGTTTAGGGTTTAGGGTTTAGGGCTCGGGCTTAGGGTTTAGGATTCAGGGGGTTTGGGTTTAGGGCTTTAGGCTTCAGGCTTTCCCAGTGAGCCCCAAAACGCTGGATTTGTCTAGCCCTAAACCCTAAACCCTAAACCCAAAACCCTAAATCCTAAACCCTAAACCCTAACCCTGAACCCTAAACACCCAAAAACCGCAAGCCCTGAAGCCTACCCCGGATGTTAGGGTTTTCATCGGGTACGTTGGGCATTTGGGCCCGACACTCATCAACCTGTAAACCCTCAACCCTGAACCCTGAACCTTGTACCCTAAACCCTGAATTAAATCCCCACAAAGTCCTCAAAGTTTTCACCTCAAAGCCGACGAAGCAACCCTAAACCCGATTTGGGTTTAGCCCCAAAACCTAAACCCTAAAACCTTGGGGTGAGCCCAAACCCCAGAACCCGAAAACCCTAAAACCCCTAAAACCCAAAACGCTAAAACTCTAGAAATCCTAAACCTCCTAAACCCGAAAACCCCCACATCCCCAAAACCCTAAAACCCAATAGGCCTAAGTCCTTAAACCCTAAAGCCCCAAAACCCGCAAACCTTAAGACCCCAAAACCCTAAACCCCCCAAACCCCTAAAGCCCTAAAGCCCTAAAACCCCCAAACCCGAAAACCCTAAAACCCCCAAACCCTAAAACCCAAAAACCCCTAAAGCCCCAAAACACTCAAGCTCTAAACCCCTAAACCCCCAACACCCCGGAACCCTAAAATCCTAGACCCTAAAAGCGTAAAACCCTAAACCATCAACCCTCAACTCACAACAAACCCTCAAACCTAAACCCTAAACCCCAACCCCCAAACCCCAACCCCCAAACCCCCCCAAACCCCCCCAAACCCTACACCCTCAACCCTAAACCCCAAAGACTGAATGTTAGGCCGCCATCGTTCCAAGCACGGCGACCTGTTCCGCACAGGATTCCTGCTCCCCCTCAGGCGCGTTTAGGGTTTAGGGTTTAGGGTTTAGGGTTAAGGGTTTAGGGTTTAGGGTTTAGGGTTCAGGGTTTAGGGTTTAGGGTTTAGGGTTAGTTTTTAGGGTTTAGGGTTTAGGGTTTAAGGTTCAGGATTCAGGGTTTAGTGTTTAGGGTTTAGGGTTAGTTTTTGGGGTTTAGGGTTTAGGGTTCAGGGTTTAGGGTTTAGGGTTCAGGGTTTGGAGATTTGGGGTTTTTTCTGTTTGTAGGGGTTGTTTAGGGGGTTTAGGGGGTTTAGGGTTTAGGGTTTAAGGTTTAGGGTTTAGGGTTTGTTTAGGTTTGAGGGTTCGGGTTCAACTTAATTCAGGTTCAGGGCTTTTGGGGCGGGGAGTGTAGGGCCTTGCGGCTTTGGGATGTGGGATGTGCCCGCAACTACAGGACGCTGGGAGCGCAGCAAGCAGGGCAAGGACAGTAGGAAACCCTAAACCCTAAACCCTAAACCCTAAACCCTAAACCCTAAACCCCAAACCCTAAACCCTAAACCCTAAACCCCAAACCGCTCAGAATACTGTCTCTAGGTCCGCTCATGTCAGGTTTGAGTGCCGAGGGTTTGGATATCACAGAATAAAGGTTTCATTTCTGGACCGTTGCAGATGCCAGCCTCAACCCTGAACCCAACACCCACAACCCAAGACCCTAACAACTAAACCCTACACCCTAAGGTTTAGGGTTTAGGGTTTAGGGTTTAGGGTTTAGGGTTTAGGGTTTAGGGTTTAGGGTTTAGTGCTTAGGGCTTAGGGTTGAGGGTTTGGGGTTACAACCCTGGAGTGCCGCCGCCAGATTGCAACATGGTGTCCAACTCCCCATGCACCTTCACAGATCCTGGGCCCCATGGCATGTTTCAGACCTACAATATATAGGGTTTAGGGTTTAGGGTTTAGGGTTGAGGGATAGATAGACAAACAGATAGAGGGTGTATGTAGCTTCTACTTGTTGATGGGTCTTGCACTCTAAACCCTAAACCCTAAACCCAAAACCCTAAACCCTAAACTCTAAACCCTAAACCCTAAACCCTAAACCCTAAATCCTAAACCCTAAACCCTAAACCCTAAACCATACTACCTGGCTACATAAGCAGCCCCTGAAATGCCCGAAATGTCACTCTGCAACCCCTAGAACCCCTCCAGCAAGGTCCCTTCCTTGGTCCCTTTGTATGAGTGTAGGGTATAGGGTTTAGGGTTTAGGGCTTAGGGTTTAGGGTTTCGGGCTTAGGGCTCTGGGCTTAGGGCTTAGGGCTTAGGGTGTTGGGTGCAGGGTGTAGGGCGTAGGGAAAGCTGAGGATCAACTATACCGATCTCATCGGGAGCGTCTCGTGCAAGACATGCACCCAGAGCTCGGACGCCCGCTGTTCCGCAGCGGGCATTGCTCAAGCTTTCGACACAGGCGCCTCAGCAGCTGAATGAGTGCACTTTATAGGGTTTAGGGTTTAGGGTTTAGGGTTTAGGGTTTACTAGAATCCCGAGAACCCAGAGTAGGCCCTTATTCCCTTTTTTCTTGGGGTGTAGGTTCCCCTTTTCACCAAGAAGGGCATCCTTTTTTATTCCTAGGTTATTCTTGGGTCTACATCCCCTATAGAACTCAAAGTAGGCACTTTTTGGGGCTTATGAAGTCGGCCACTAAGGTGCTCCATCCTCGGTGAAGGCCGTCGTCCCAACCCCAACCCCTAAAGGGTTAGGTAAGGGCGCAGGGTCTCATAGAGCTTTGCATATTTTCGGCTCGGGTTTAAGTTTCAGACGGTTCTAAAGGCCCTCGACTAGCGAACCCCAAGCCCTGAACCCTGAACCCTGAACCCTGAACCCTGAACCCTGAACCCTAGACCCTGAACCCTAGACCCTAAACCCTAAACCCTAAACCCTAAACCCTAAACCTTAAACCCTATCCTCTCCCCTGAGATGTCCACAGCCTAGCAGGCGGTGTACTGCAACGACCAGCGACTTGGTGCTCTTGATCCCTAAGCCCTAAGCCCTAAACCCTAAACCCTAAGCCCTAAACCCTAAACCCTAGCCCTAAACCCTAAACCCTAGCCCTAAACCCTAAACCCCTAAACCCCTAAATCCCCCTTATGCCCCGAAGCACGCGGGGCCCAGGTTCCTTGTGGTGTGGTCTTCCGGCCAGCCACCAGATGACAGCACGCTCGCTGGCGTCCCCCGACCCCCAGGACCGTGTTTTGGGTGGTTTAGGGTTTAGGGTTTAGGGTCTAGGGTCTAGGGTTCTCAGGGTTTTTTACTCTTTGTTGTGGGGGAGTGGGGCTTTACGACTTTGCAATCGAGGTTTTTGAAGGTTCAGGGGGGGGCTGAGGTCTCGGGTTTCGGGTGTAGGTGCAGCTGCTACAACCCATGGTCCATGCGGGCTTTAGCAGGAGACTAGCACAACTACCAACTTACCCCTTGCAGCACCAGTACAATGCCTATCTGAGACGATACGAACTACCCCAAAATGCCCATCGAACATAGCAAGCTGAATATCCCCGACATTTCTGGTTTTCTTGGGATTCTTCTCACTTTCGGATACCAGGTGTCTGTGTTTGTTTCTCCGACATCTGAGAGGTCTTCAAGCATTCGCCCTGAACCCTAATCTCGCAACCCCGAAACTCTCATCCTTAAACTCGAAACCCCGAATCCTTAAACCCTAAACCGTAAACCCTAAACCCTATACGCTATACCCTAAACCCTAATCCCTAAACCCCCCCCCCCCCAAAAAAAAAAAGAATTAAACAACCATAAAATAAAAACACGAATCAAAACAAATAAGCCTGCAAGTTGTTCAAGCCCTAAACCCTAAGCCCCTAAACCCCAAACCCCAAACCCCAAACCCTAAACCCTAAACCCTAAACCCTAAACCCTAAACCCTCTCCCGTCATAGGCGGCTCGGGGGGCGCCACCTACGACACCCAGTGCGTCACGAGATCGACGATCCCGCAGTCTCAGACCTATAAGTTCCTCCTCTGTTTAAGGGGGGGGTGTGTAGGGGTTTTAGAGTTGAGGCTTGAGGGTTCAGGGTTCAGGATTCAGGGTTTCGAGGTCAGGCTTTAGGGTCTGTAGCGGCATTTTAATTGCAATGAAGACCCGAAGCCCTAAGCCTTAATTAAGCCCTAAACCCTAAACCCCAGACCCAGGATTCCGCTGAGCCCGCCTGCTGACGAGTCCTACGAGTGGACGCCGAACCCCCCTGCCGGAGCGAGCGGTGTTGGCCGGAACCTTGGGGCACCAAATGAACCCTAAAAATTGGGGTCAATATACCGTATACTACTGCAATTCTTATGAAGTTATATGAACCCTAACCCTAAACCCTAAATCTAAACCCTAAACCCTAAACCCTAAACCCTGAAACCCTAAACCCGAAACCCTAAACCCTAAACCCTAAACCCTAAACCCTAAACCCTAAACCCTAAACCCTAAACCCTAAACCCTAAACCCTAAACCCTAAACCCTTTCAGGGTTCACGTGGTTCCCCGAAGGAATGGGGTGCCTTTCTACCCTGGCTTGGACAACGGCGGCCACTGGGTCTGGGATGTCTGTGAGGCGGACAAGTGCGCCTTGGGCCGCAAGCAGCGGGGTTTAGGGTTTAGGGTTTAGGGTTTTAGGGTTTTAGGGTTTTGGGTTTAGGGTTTAGGGTTTAGGGTTTAGGGGTTTCGGGTTTAGGGCTTAGGGGCAAGGAGTTCTGACCCAGCATAACCAGCACTCTACTCCCCTTATATGTACACATACACATGCACATGCACATGCACATGCATATACATATACATATGCATATGCATATTCGTATACATATACATATACATACGTATTCACATATACATGTACACATACATACGCATTCACATATACATGTACATACACATAGACATATACAGATAAGCACGTATACACATATACACATATAGGTCGCATTTACACATACATATACAGACATGTAACATTGATTTGTACCTACCTCATGCATGTATATACAGATGGGTACCAAGTAGCAGGACCGTCGTGGGGACATGTTGGGAAATGTGAGTCCCAGCCATGCCCGGGTCTCCTGAGGTGACCTTTGCGGGTTTGGGGTTTAGGGTTTAGGGTTTAGGTTTTAGGGTTTGCTGTGACAGGGCGTAGGTGCTGTGAAGGTTAGGTTTCGGAACAAGCGCGAAAGCTTCGTGAGGTGCCGAAGGGCAGCTTTGGCGGGATAGGGATCAAAAAAAAAATAAAAAAGGATCAAAAAAAAAATAAAAAAGGATCAAAAAGAAAATAAAAAAGGATCAAAAAAAAAATAATCCAGCTTCCTGCCCCGCGGCTCGCTCCAGCTTCATGGCTTCATGGCTTCATGGCTTGCTGGCTTCTCGGCTCCTCGGCTCCCTGGCTTCCTGGCTCGCTCCAGCTTCATGGCTTCATGGCTTCTTGGCTTCTTGGCTTCTTCTTGGCTTTCTGGGCTTCTTGGCTTCTTGGCTTCTGGGGCTTTCTGGGCTTCTTGGCTTCTTGGCATCTTGGCTTCTTGGCTTCTTGGCTTTCGGGGCTTTCGGGGCTTCTGGGCTTCTTGGCCTCCGGATTCTTGGCTTCCAGGCTTCCGGGCATGTCAAGAGCTTACTGCTCAGAACAGTATCTACACCATGTTCGTATGTTTTGTATGTCGACATAGTATGTATAGTATACACAATCATACATATGCATATATATATATATATATGTATATGTATATTTTTTATTTATATGGAGAGAGAGAGAATATTGGAAGGTTAATATGTATGTATACATAGAGTATATATGTATATATGTTTTCTATACATCTATATAGATATACTATATACCATATAATACAAAGTGCAATAACTTGTATGTGTGTATATATATAGTATACATATTATATAATATTATATATATATAGTATAGATGGCATGTACAAAATATATTATATGTCGTATATATAGTACAAAAAGTATATAGAGCAAAAAGAGTATACGTACATATTAATATATATATATATATATATATATATTAAATACACTGTATGTACAAAGTCCAGTAAAAGTATTTAAAAATATGTCGAGATAGTATATTTCATGGTGTATGTAGTGCACACACTCACACATATATATGTATGTATACAAACATAAAGTATGTGTAGTATACAAGTATGGTATATATAGTATACATATTATATTATATTATCTTATCTCATATCACAATATGTACAGTATGCATAATACACACTATGTAATATATGTAGTATATATATATATATTATAGTGTACATGGTATATAATATATGTATATATACTATATGTAGTATATAATATATACATAGTCGATATCATATAATAAGTATACATAGTATATATAGTCTACAGAGTACATATACATATACACACTTAACATATGTAGTACATACAGAACGCATTGTACATGTATATACATATAACGTAGTATACATAGTATACATAGTATACATAGTATACATAGTATATATATATATGTATACTATACAACTTGCATTCGGGCTTGTAGGGTTCAGAATTTAAACTGGGGTTAAGCAAGATTCCGTCAGATCAATCAACATGCCAAGCCAAAGCGCAGAATGTGAAGAACTGCGGGTTTGTGTTGGTGCTGCTGCCGCCGGCCTATGTTCCAGCTGCCAACCAGACCTCCACGTAGAGGCCCCCATCTGCTGTTGAAAGCATAAGCCACACACCTTAACCTCCACGCAGAGGCCCCCGTCTGCCGTCGCAAGCATAAACCAGGCACCTTAACACCTCAAGTCTCAGCCCCCCAGCCTGAAGCCCTACCCCGTAAATTGAAGGTGTTCTAAGCTGCAAAGTGTACTGGGTTATGCGGCTGTAGACTGGGCCGGGCGGGCTCGCGGCGCGCGGCGGCCAGTCTTCCCTGTGGCCGGCTCCTGCTCGGGGTCAGGGACGCCATGGCACCCAAAAAAAGAGCTGCCGAGGACTGCGTCATAATTAGACCTGACGTTCTGGACCTTCCCTAAACGGTTTGCGGCCAGGACTCTGCGCAAACAGAGCGCGCGGCAAAGAAGATCAAGGCGTCAGCTTCCGTGAGCTTGCGGCACGCCTGCAGTTCTCCTTCCCTGCGAGGTGCTGTGCCGCCTCTGTGAGAGGCGGCATAACGAGGAGAAGGTGCGCCCCGTCTTCAAACCTGCAAAGGTGACGGCGGTGCGTGAGGCCTTCTTGGCTGCCCACAAACCGATACCGAGGTGGGGCTGCGTGCGGTGCGCCTTTCTCACGCACAGCAAGCGTGTCCCATGTGCGAGGACATTAGCCGTTTGCGACAGCTGCAGCAGCAAGATCGCCAAGTCAAGGCGTCAGGCAGTACACACATGTTCCCGATGCAAAACACCTTGTCCCGGGATTGTGCACTTGATAGTCGTCCAAAGGTGCGCACACAGCCAGGCATGAACCCTGTAAACCCTGCGCCCCAAACCCTCCTTTGAGGCTCACTTCCTGGCTTTTGGGTTCGGGAGATCGGTTCGGGAAGCGCGGGTCTCAATTTGAACCCAAGCCATCGAAGCCACCAAATTTGCCTACCACGCCACACCGCAACCCCAAACCCGGAACCCTAAACCCGCAAAGCAGAAACCCTAAACCTGGAACCCGAAGCCTGAAACCCACCCTGGCTAGGCAGCTGCGCAGGAGCCCGCGCCCGCCGGGCTGGAGGCCGCCGCCCCTGTGGCTGCTCCTACGGGGCAGGGGCCTGCTGCCGGGTCACCAACAACGGCGCCTGCAACCGGAGGTCTGTAGGGTCTACTGGCGAGCGGTGCCAGGGTTTCAGGGAATCATCTCAACGCAAGCCTGCCCAAAACTCCATTACCCTGCAAGGGTGCAGGAGATGGTCATCTGGATGCTTGGGGATGGGGATGATTTCCGTGTCCTTAGTTCTGCATCCCTATGACCGGCCTTTCAGTAGTATAGTGAAAGGTCCGAAAAAGAGTCCATTATTTTCCATGAGCCTCTTGTGACCCTTTTCATACAAGACTTGCCAGGGTCGCGCGCGCTTGAGGCTTGTAGCGCACGATCCCTAACCCTCAAATCCCTTGACCCTAGACTCTCCTAACACGATAAACCTCAAGCCCCAAACCCCAAACTCCGACCCAAAAACAGCGAACCCTGAAGGCAAAGGTAAAGCCAAGGGCCCAGCGTGCAAGGGCAAGACACCCGGCATGAATTATGGCTTGGAGGTGAACTAAACAGAATAGTCCTTAGAGCCACATTATGGCACTTAGGTACCTTACAACTCCCCCTGCATAACTCAGAGTTAGATCTAAGGTAGGGCGTCAGCACATCCCTGCAATTTGAGGCTTCGGGGTTTAGGATAAGACTACGGGAATTAGGTTCCACGTCTAAACGTCGCATGATGACTTGGGAGCCTTAATCCCTTCATCCCTAGGGCCAAACCCTAAACCCGAAACCCATTCCTGCGAAGCCAAGGAAGTCCGCTGCTGCAAGCGCCGAAGAGGCAACCCTATAGAATATGATATCCATGAACCTAAAGTATAACGCCCAGCCCTAGGAATGCCAGCAATCCGTAAATCCTGACAGCCCATATCGACCCTAAACCCACAGTGTCGCTCAGGCCGACGCCATAAACCCAAAGCTCCAAACCCCTAAACTTTAAGGTTTTTAGCTTCATGTTTCGCAAGACAAACCCTCAGCCCTCGAGGCCAAACCCTGAGCATGACAAAACTCCAACCTGCGCAGCCACATCCATCCACGCAGGCCGCGCGCTCGGAAGCCCCTGCCGAAGCCCCTGCAACTCCGGCAGAGGAGGCGCTTGTGACACATTTCTGGGCTGCAGTCGTGCGGTTCGGCGCAGCGATGAGAGAGTCGAGTTGTTTTTCGTCCTGGGGTTTTCAGTGGGGATGTGCTGGTGGTGAAGGACGAGGGTTTTAAAATGTCAGTTATCGTACGGGATACAAATGTCTTGGAGGCGATTACATTCCGTCTGACCTGGTTGTAACTTGGGATGTTCCTATACTGACAGTCCTTAGTAGGGATTGTGGTGACCCCCAAATCGTCCCGATCAGGGACTGCTAGCACGGGGAACATCCCAAAGTATGGTTGCAACAGGGTACTGATCTACTTCTCCAAATCGACCCTCAACCCGAGTGCAGCACCAAGTGCTACGTTGAGGTTCATGGGTACTTGTCAGCAGGGTTGTAAGTTGGGAGCTATAGTTTCAGGGTTTAGGGTTTTTGGGTTCGGGTGCCACGTATACCCCTACTTGCAAGTACCCACGAACCTTAAAGTCTGCCCAAAACACAGGGAGCCCACACCCTGTCCCCTAGCTCTCCTGCCCTGTCTCAAGGCTCCTCTTTTGGCAGCCGAGTCGCTTCAGAGCCCACGCTCCCAGACAGGCTTTGGGGAGGTGACAGGCTTCGGGGTGGTTAGGTTTCTCGGCTCGGTTTGACGTACTATTTCCGGCTAAACATCCGACAGTGTTTCTACTTCGCTGGCCTTTTTCTCGTGTTTTAACGTTCATTTTGCAACTAGACCTTATGGCAAGAGCCTCGCTCCTGGTGCACGAAAGGGACACCGCTCTCTA